TTTCTAACTTTGATTTGTTTTTAGACATACGACTGGTTAAAAATTGAATATATGACTCAAAACTTACTTGTAAATGTTGTTTTCTTTAGTTTCTAATGTTTTGACTTCGTATAGCATCAACATCATTTTATACCAAAAAATGATACCTCAACTATAAAGCAAAGTATTATACCGGAACTCTAATAATTTAAAAAATTTTTAACGTAATTTAATTTTAGACATACGAAAGGACTAAAATTTTGAGAAAAATTTTTTTTTTTTTTTTAGTTGTGTAAAAAAATTCAGTTAAACATAGCTTTTTTACTAAACGCAAAATTCGTTTATTTTCCAGAACGTGCATTAACTGCGTTGAGATTCTGTTTTTATTTTCTAACATCAGAATAAAGCCGCAAAAACATATTTGTTCCGGTGGATTTTAAAACCCATAAACCATAGTTATAAGAAAGATATAGTTTGGAAGGGAACAATAGCGCATTGTTTGAACTCTTTCATACTGTTTTTTCTCGTTTCCGGACTTCTGAACCTGCACAGAAAGATTGTTGTTGTAACCGTTTGCCTATTACTCTATTAAAATGTTTTTGTGTTTTCAATTAAATTTGGTTCTTATATTGATATGCCTGGTGAAAATTGTGCAATACTTGGTTATTCAACTTCTAGAAGACACAAAGGTATTAGCATTTTTAAAGTACCTATTCCAACTAATGATGTAAATAAAAAGTTGAGTAATGACATTATTAAAGTGATTATTCGAGACAAAAAACGAATTAATTCTTTCAACGTATATATTTGCGAACTCAACTTTACCGAATTTTGGGTATATTCTTCACGAAAAATTTTAAAGGATGGAGCATTGCCAACATTAAACCTTCCTGTAATTAGTGTAAATAATTGTATTTTATATAAACTATTAACGCGTTGCGTCAGAAGGAATGTTGTGGGCGCGTCGTATATATTATATTGTACTTAACGTTTATACTGTTTATTGTTATACTCTCGGGGGCATTCGCAAATGTATATATATTGAGTAAAGATATTCAGAAAGAAAGTAAGAAAAAACAAATATATTTTATTATTACAAGCTATTTCGGCAATGAGTATCGTTATAAAGTTTGCGGATCTGGTATCACAATACGATGGTTCGGGTGATTTTTCAGAATGGATATAGAAATTGGAACTGGTAGCAAAACTTCAAAAAGTTGACAAGCTGCATGTGGTGCTCCCCTTATTTCTTTCTGGTGGGGCATTTGCCGTTTATCAAGGCCTAAGTGATGAGATAAAAGAAGACTACAATGAAGTAAAAACTGCACTGACTACTGCCTTTTCTACTTCTCCGCTAACAGCATACGAAGAGTTCGTAAATCGCCGTCTTAAACAGAATGAGTCCGTTGACGTATATCTCGCAGAATTAACAAGACTGAGCAAGCTAATATCATCTCACGTAAGCGAAGAGTGGATAAGGTGCGCATTTATTCTTGAATTACCTGACGAAACAAGAAAACAGCTGCAAACTGCATGCTCAATATCGCTGAAAAATCCAGAAGTTTGGTAAATTTACGTTGCAAAGAATCGTGTTTTGTCAGTTGCGTGAATCCGGTTGCCATTAGTTCAAGACAGGTTCCTAAAGGACGCGGAAAAAGACCATAACGTGCTACCGTTGCGGTGAGAATGGACATATCAGTCAAAATTGAAGCAAAGAGATTGAGAAGAAGATGTGCTTTGTGTGTGGAATGGACAATCACCTGGCCCAGTACTGCTATAAAAGGTGTACGAACTCAAAAAACGTGGAAGGGAAGCAACCCGTTTTTGTGCGAGCGGCTTCCCGCAAAATTTAAAACCACCAACTCTCCGCGTATATGTCAATGGAAGAAAAATAAAAGCATTGTTAGATACTGGATGCTCCAAATCAATTTTATGTCGGGATATTGTAAACCCAAAAAATGTCAAATATGCAAGCGAAAAGGTTGTTATGATGAATGGAAAGTCAATTGAAGTACAACACCAGACTGTTGTTAATCTTTCTTTTTTTTTTTTTTTTTTTTTTTTTTTTGTTCTTTATTACAATCATTACTACAATTTCTATTATAACTTGTGAATAAAATGTAAGACATAAAAAAAATAAATAATATTTACAATAAAGATTTCGTTAACAATAGAAATATGACAATAAATATAACAATAAAAATTACGAATAAAGAATGCGGAAACTCGAAGAAGTCCTTAAGGTCTTGTCGTAGAGAACCGCTGGAATCAAAACGCTTTAAATGAATTCATTTTTATTGATTTTTTGTAAATGTTATTCGCTTTTGAATTGGATCTGTTCCGATAAATAATTATATAAACCTTTGCATAGAATAGTTAAAAATAATATACTTTAGTATATTTATTGGTGTGTTTGATGACGTCATAGTGTGTTGGTGATGTTAATATAAATCGAATAGATTAAAAAAAAATATAATAATTGAATTGAAAATTTCTTGCATTAAAATTGTAGAAATTAAAATGATAATGGTGTGGACATTCTTGTTGATAATTAGCTCTTGTTCTAATACAGTTTTTTTTTATATATTGTGTTCGCATCTTTACCATACAAGCGATCATAGGTGGTATCACCGAATCCCAATCCAGCCCAACGATTGCCAAGCAGTTATAGTTGGGTGTTTCTACGCCAGAGGTTATGCAGCACTATTATTATTATTTTTTTTTTTTGAATATACATAGACTGCAAGCACACACACACCCATACTAACAGCACATATACACCCATATATATACCAATATATATATACATAAATACATACATACATAAATACATACATTTTTTTTTTTACATACATACATAAATACATACATAAATACATACATTTTTTTTTTTTTTTTTTTCTTAATTTTTACAAAACTGTGTTTTTGTTTTTTGTTTTTTCAAATACTAAATAAAAGATAAAATAAACCTGAAAATTTATACATACTAGCAATATATAATATAAAGGAATATACAATACGAACTCAAATAATAAATATTTATACATCTATTCATAGCTATCAGTTTCAGTACAATCTCAATGTAACTATATACTTAGGTAAATTTAGTTTTAATAATAGGTAGACAAACATATAACACTAGTAATATAGAAAAACGTTCTCCATAGAAAGAATAAGATTTTTAAGCTTAGTTTTGAAAATAGAAAAAGAGGAAGGTAGATCAAAATTTTGCAAAATAACTTTATTCGTCAGGAGATAAGTTATTTTTCCACATATATACAAAACATAGAGTATTATATAAATTCACTTCGTAAATATTAAGTATTCTCATTTTGTTAAATAAAGGTTTTGAATGAGTAAAACGATCGGAAAAATTAATAATATGAATTGCGTGTTTCTGACGTGAAAAAAGACGTTTCAACTTATTCTTTCCAGCACTTCCCCAAGCAATATTTGCATAATTTATATAATTATGGATAAACGAATGATAGAGTTGGGTCAAGCTTTTTTTATTTAGATAATCTCTAGATTTAAATAAAATTCCAATATTTTTAGAAATCTTGGTACATACGTGATCAATATGCTGTTTCCATGTATTGTGCTCATCAAAGACTCCTAAAAACTTTATGACAGAGTTCCTCTTAATCTCAATTTGGTTAATAAATATTTTAGGCAGATTTATTGGTAGGTAACGTTTTTTTTTGAAGCGGGTGGAAAATAATCCATTTTGTTTTATTAGGATTAAGAGTTAATTTGTTACACTTGAACCAGCTAGATATTTTTTTAAGTTCGTCATTTATATTACAAAACAGTTCGGAGATGTCAGTAGCAAAAAACAAGTCCAAAAAAACTTTAAAAAATATATATAACTTAGTTTGTTCCAGGATTTATCTTTTTCCGGATATTTCCGGAAATCCGGATATTTTTCTCAACTTTTAGTTTTTCCGGATATCAAAAATGTTTTATATACATACAAGTTTAGGAATATATTTTTGTAATATATTTGTTTTTTAAGCTTTTTCACTCATTACTCATACAAAACTTAAGAAAAGTTTAAAAAAAGAAATTAAAAACAGCTCAGCTAAAATTAAAATTATTAGGAATATTAGGGAAAATATATTCCGGATTTTACCCTACTGATTTTCCGGATTTTTCAAATATGACCTGGATGATCTATGTAGTTCACAAATTTCTATTCTACGGAGCGTTTTAAAGCCATCAATTTCATTAAAAAAATGGTTCAGATAGCGCGATGGGAAAGAAAAACACGGCTTTATTGTTCTCTCTAAACAACTCGAGTGTATATCGATGTCACATGTATGCACGCATGTATATCGATGCCCCATTTATATCAGTTTGATGGCTTTAAAACGCTCCGCACAATAGAAGTTTGTGAATTAACGAAGCTGTGTTTCTCAGCTGTGTAGCGCAGTGGTAGCGCGTTTGACTCAGACACCAGTGATCCTTGATTCGAAACAAACTTTTACTACATTATTATGAAGGATTTGTAACTGATACATTATTATGAATGATATATAACATGGTTATCTTTATCTTATTATTATGATATATCTACATGGTTATGAAGGAGGCGTGAACTTCTTACTAAATGTTCCCCCGCGGTTCTCTGTGATAAGACCGTTAGGACTTCTTAGGGAACTAAAAAAAAATTGATTGTCTAAAATGAATAGTGTTACGATATTTTTAAAGGCATATTAAATTTTGAAATAAACTCGGTATGTATAGTAATACATAGGCAAATAGTATGCATAGGCAAAAAGTTTCGAGAAGCTCGTAAATATGTTTAGGCTCACAAAAACGCGCGCTTTCTTGTAAGAAAGACAAATAAACTTTTTTCGAATCTGATACATAAATATTTTTATTTTGCACTGATAAAAAACTACTTAACCAAACGGTTTTCATGCATCATGTAAACACTTTTAAGAATTCCTGTACTAATAGAGTTAATTAGAGTAATTAGAGCTCTACTCATAAACATGCGTAATTTAGAGTAGACCCTTACAAAAAAACCCAGCGAACTTCCAGCGAAAGTTCGCTGGAAATTAAAAGATCACTGGAAATTTACTAAGATCACTGGGTTTTCGCTGGATTTCCATGGAAACAAAAGACTTCGCTGGAAGTTCGCTGGAAATCCAACGAAAATCTTCCAGTGATCTTAAAGTTCGCTGGAAGTTTACTGGGTTTCTTGCGAAATATTTCGCGGAGATGAAAAAAGCGTTGCTGTTACAACTTCTGCAAGCAGTTAAAACTTGGAAAATTGATAATATAGCTTCTTAAAATAGTATTTCAAATTTTTGTATAAAAGTAATCCTTTTTATTTTATTTTTTGCATCTAATAGATGATCTATAGTGTGAGTTTCAATTATTATTAGTTCTACTCAAGTTACAAAACAAAATCATCTGGTATGTTGCTCAATATATAATATGTTAGTGTATTCTACAAATAGAGTGCTCAACGTTCTTAAAGAACAGAGCAATAATAAATTAGTAAAAACACTTATCTAATTTTTATTTTCTTCTACAGCTTGTTTCTCCATCAGTAGGATCATTAGGAAGGAATCTTTCTGATGATCCAACTGATGGAGAAACAAGCTGTAGAAGAAAATAAAAATTAGATAAGTGTTTTTACTAATTTATATATATATATATATATATATATATATATATATATATATATATATATATATATATATATATATATATATATATATATATATTTGAGAAGTTGCTTTAAGTACTAATAAGCAATGTACAAAATGTTTGAAATATTTTACATTATTCTATCTTTATAAGAAATGCAGTTATTTTCATATTTTAAACATAAACAAACAGCATAAAAACATGTGTGATAACAATTGGATACATTTAGCAAGTCTCGAAGAAAATGTGCAAGCAACAATTAGACTTGTTGTTAATACTGATGGAATTCCTGTTTTTAAATTATCAAAGTGGACCTTGTGGCCTTTGCTAGCATCCATTCATAATTTTCCATATTCATTGCAAATTACTAATATTTTGTTTTTTGGTTTCTGGTCCAGTTTTAAAAAACCAAACGTGCAATTATTTTTATCTTGTTTTGTTGATTTTTTACTAACCTATCCACTACTGGTATACTCTTATCTAATAATGTTCGTGTTTTTTTTTTTCATGTATCTATTTTTTTGTGTGATACAATTGCAGGAGCTATGGTTTTTTGTTGTAGGTAGTTTAATGATTATAATGGTTGCCAATGGTGTTCTTCTCAAGGGGTAAGAGTTAAAAAAAGGTAGGAGGTCTTGTATGACTTATCCATTTTCTGATGTTAATGGGAGTTGTAGAAACCATACAGATTGTTTTTGGATTAATGTGATTAAAGGGTTTTTAGATTTTTCTACATTTGTAAGAGTACCTAATTTTAATTGTGAAAATGGAACAGTTGTTAATAATCTGCACTGTATTGAGCTTGGTGTTATGAAAGCTATGTTTTCTTTCTGATTTGATAGTTATTATTCTGGTTATATTTTTTCTATTTAAAGACACTGTACTGTTGTAAATAATCTTTTATCTGCAATCAGTGTGCCAAGCAATATAAGACAGACTCGATGATCATTAAGTTGTATAAAGCATTGGAAAGGTATTGAGTTTTTTAATTTTTTAGTTTTTTATGGTCCTGTTATTTTATGTGATGTTTTGCCTCCTCAGTTTTTTGACCATTTTACTCTTTAGTCTAATATTGTTTTTACGTTGAACAATAATGTATTATCTGAAAGTGTAATTAATGAAGCCACATTATTAGTTAATAGATTTTTTTATGAGTTTTCTGATTTGTATGGTAAAGAAAATATGTTTTATATTAAAGAGTTATTTTAAAGCAGTTATATATATACTGAGCTTTTTTTAAAGCAGGTATTATATTTTAATGCAGTTTTTATTTAAGTAAACTAAAATCTTTCTCTCTCTCTCTCTCTCTCTCTCTCTCTCTCTCTCTCTCTATATATATATATATATATATATATATATATATATATATATATATATATATATATTATGTATGTATGTATATATATATATATATATATATATATATATATATATATATATATATATATATATATATATATATATATATATATATATATATATATATATATATATATATATATATATATATAATTAAGTTTTTATTATTTTATCTATAATTATTATTTTTATGCAGGATAAAAGTGATAAAATGCTATTGGTTGGAAATTGATAAATTAATAAAAAATGATTGATTCTAATTGCGCAAAAATATGTTGGTATGTTTTTATCTATCTTGTACTGTTTTATTTTTGCTTATCATTTCACATTTTGTCTTATTTTGAATATTATGTTTTATATAATTATTAGTTAGTGTTTGTAAAACACTAACTAATTTTGATTGCTTTTAGATTTTGGATACTGCCTCTACCATTAACAAATTAAAAATAAAAGAAGCACTTCATATTAAATGGGAAAATCCTAAATATAAATTTATCTAACTAACTTACTACATTATTGTTGTTATTTTAATATTAGGAGGTTTATTTTGTCATAATTTGTAATAAAATTTTTAATTGATTTGTAGCAAGTTTATTTGTCCATTAATTTTTTCTCTGTATTGTCTTCAGTTTTTAAATTTATTTACCAGAATATATATATATATATATATATATATATATATATATATATATATATATATATATATATATATATATATATATATATATATATATATATATATTAGTAGAAAGTCACTTAATAGAAAATTTTTTAAAAGTTTTCGATGTAACAGTGTAAAATGAAAAAAAATTTTTGTTAAGTAATTTTCTACTTATTTATAATTGCTCTGTTCTTTTAAGAACATTGAGCACTCTATTTTGTAGAATACATTTTGAATATTGTTTAAATATATATATATATATATATATATATATATATATATATATATATATATATATATATATATATATATATATATATATATATATATATATATATATATATATATATATATATATATATATATATATTTTTTTTTAGCTCTAAAGACCCAAACCGAAAAGAATGCCTAAAGTGGTTTTCAAAAGATGAATTGACGAATTTCTAAATTCTTTTTGTTTCGTTGTGATAATTTGTCGTATGAGAACGCTAACGAGAAAAAACTTTTTAAATATAGAAACATGCGTAATATAAAGTTTACTTATGCCTATAAAAAAATATGTTTTACATTAATTAATAAATTAACTTTTTAGTTTCTTGTTAAAAATTGTATTCTGTATTGAAGTTTATTTCTGAGAATTTGTAATTATACCTAAGATAATCTAATCCTACATTGTATTTTAATTTATAAAACTCGATATTTTAAAATAAATATATTACTTTTTTATCGCGCTTAACTTCTCTTATTTCGCGTTTATTGGTTAAAAAATTTTAAAATGTTTATAAACTTTTGAAACTTTTATAGCAAAAATAAAAAATCCTTTTTAAAAAAACTTCCAGCGAATCTATTTTTATACATAAACATGAAAATTCGCTAGAAAAGTTCACTGGAAGTTCGCTGGGTTTTGGAACATATTCGCTGGAAATTTCCAGCGAACTTCTAGTGATCTTTAAAGATCACTGGAAAAGTTCGCTGGAAGTTCGCTGGGTTTTGGAACAAGTTCGCTGGAAATTTCCAGTGAACTTTAGAGATCACTGGAAAAGATCACTGGAAGTTCGCTGGATTTTGGAACATTTTTTCACTGGAAGTTCGCTGGGTTTTTTTGTAAGGGGAGCTCAGCAAAAGGGTGTATTAGAAATAAGTTTTTTGTTTTTCTTTTTAAAGACATTTCTCCAGTTTTGTTGTTATAGAGCCATGACGCAGTGTTTAGTGCACTCAATATTTGATTTTAAGTTCTGTGTTCTGGCTCCACTTCTAGGAGACCCGGCACATAGGAACTATCCATAAAGGACGTTTCATTTTTCAGCCAATTTCGACCTCTTTTCCCCCTTTGCCATCATTTGTCCTTTTTAACTATACACCCCTCCTTCCGCCATGGAAAAGATGTCATAAAATCAGGAACCCCTTTATATAAAAAATCTTTCTTTTATCTCGTTTTATATTTTTGTCCTACTTTTTGACAATCATAGTCGGATTAGCGTTATTTTAAGACTTTGTGAGCGAATTAAAAAAATGATTTTATCCATCTTTTGAAATGGACATTGAACGTATTAAGTGCAAATGAAAGTAGCAGCGACAATGATATTTGACACGGTTGAGACAAATGAAGTTTTTATTAAAGGAACAACACTGCTGGATCAAGTCAAATTCCTTGCAAGTGAATCATCATAAAACCTTTTCTTGTAATGCATAGTAGTGTATTGTACATAACAAAACATAACAAAACAAAACAATTAGGATTTAAATTTATACTTTACTTGATATAAACATTAAAAAAGAAAAAAAAAGTTCTTTAGTTTATAAGTTTAGGCTGAACTCACTAACATATTTTATATAGGTACAGCCGTCGCGCAGTGGTTAGAGTTCTGGCTCAGAACCCAGAGGTCCAAGGTTCGACGCCAGCTCCAGCCCGACCAGCGACATTGGTTCGAAGCCAGGCGTGAACTTCCCGTTAAATGCTACTCTGTGATAAGATCGTAAGGACTTCTGGGAGCCCCTAAATAACTACAATTAGTTAACATTGAATATCAAGAAACATTTAAATATTTTTTGTATTTATCAAACCATTTTTTGTATTTATCAAACTCTTTTGCTATAGCAATCAATCGCGTCAGAAGTGTTATCAAAAACTTTGTAATTACGAAGCTCTTGACAAGGCTTACAATGCATTGAATAACAATAAAAGTTCGTTTTGCATGCAATCTGTAGGTTTTTTCGTAAAAAAAATTAAAGTTTGAACTTAACCTTTGATGCTGACTTTTTAAGGGAAATTGTTTGTCATGCAATGTTTAAAAAAAAATTAATTGAAAGATTAGGTCCAACATTACAATATCTTGTTTAAGACTTTATGCAAACGAGAATTTTTTTATAGAGGAAGAGATGGTATTTAAACTTATCGCTTTGATGCAAGTGATAGAGTATGCTAAATTGGTACACGCATTTTAATAGATTAACGGATAGGGTTTGAACTGTTTGTTGTTTAAACTTTTTAACCATTCTCCTACTCCACGTTGCTTACTCGAACTAGTTTGCTAAACATGATCTTAGCCATTAGGCCGGGAAGTGATTTACGGAGCTATTAGGTAGTGCACAATATAGGATCAGGTAAAGCCGATAAAAGTTCAAGATTTTTTTCAGAAATTTCAAAACAATCTGACCTTGCTCAGGACCTTATATAATAAAGACACTCATAAGTGGGGCACAAATCTACATTATTTTAGGATTATGGCCTACTTGAGGTGCTTCCCCACCATTCTAGAGCCTTTAGAAATTCTGGTTTCAGTTGTAAAATGACTTTAGACGGACCATGGCTAAAAACAAAAAAAATTAAAAATAATCATTTCTGAAATGCCGACAATCGAATGTACTGTGTACGTTTCAACGCGTTGTGTAAATATGCGTTTTTCTTTTTGCTTTCTTTATCTTTTTCTTTGAATTAAAATTTATTTAAGTGTCAAATGCTTTGGTTGTCGAACCCGGTTTCTACTCGGATGCTCCTGCCACACTTATAAAAAACAATAAAAATATTCTCTATTAATCTTTAATATAATAACTTTATAGAAACACATGTTTTTATGTCTTTCTATGAAGAAACACATGTAAAAATGCATGCGTTGATGTTTAGTAAAACCAAAAAAATCTATAAGGCGTCCTCTTTTTTTGATTATAATTTTAATACATAAACACACTTTTTGCTTGATATTACTAAATTGTTTGCGTGCTTGACTCTTTTTCTCTTTATTTTTGTAATTTAGCGAGTGATCATGCCTTAAATATTCTGTTACAATCAATTTTATCAAGTATTCGTTCAACAGTCAGGATCTGCTTAAAAAAAGTTTACTATTTTGTTTTTTTTGTTTTACGGTTTCCGAAGGTTTGAGTTTTATAAATTTGCTGATTTAGTTGATCTTTTTTGGCTTGTCAAACATTGTTAAATTAGTAACCTTTAACTTAATTTTGAATATCCTGTATGTTGTGTATTGTTTCAGAACAGAACAGAAAGACCGGAAAAGATATCAGCTCTTTTTTATTCAAAGTTGTTCAAAGTTGTCAATATAACAATTTTTAAACAATCTTTATAACGCAAAAACCTAACTGACTTACCTAGCTCGATGGGTCGAGGCTGTGACCGTTTAACTATTTTACCATTATTTTTAGATACAAGGACCATTCTGGTACTAAAAACTCTAGAAAATGATGAATGAATGCCACATAAAATGATTTAAGTTATTGAATGTATTTGTTGTAATATTTTATGTATTGTAAAAACTTGTAAATACTATGTAGTCTTAAAAATATATATATGAACAAAAAAAAAAAAAAAAAAAAAAAAAACAAGTTTTACAACTATTTTTTTCACACAACCTAACTTTCTATTTTAGTTATTTGTTGCAGCAATGACTGAATAATCCAAAAATAAAACCTGAATAATCCAAAAAACAAAGCCAGTTAATG